TCCAAGGAGGGATATGAGAAATCCAATTTGACTGAGCCAAGATAAAATTATAGTTATTGTCTTAGGAGGTAGTAGGTGGAGAATGAAAGAGTTTAAGTAAATATACCACAAACCCAAGGGCTGAGGCCATCAATCAAGTAGCCCTGTAACTCAGCCCCCACTTATTTTCCCAATTTAATTTCCCTCTGCTCCCTTTCATACATTCGTGCTGCATCTAACCAACCTAACTAAATGTTCTCCATTCATTCTGCACAATTTCTCATCTGTGTTTATACTGTTGCCTTTCTCTGCAATGTCCATTTCCCACAGTTCCACAGCTCCACCTCTCCCCTGGTAATCTCCAAACCCTTTTCAACTTTCAAGGCCTAGTTCCAATGACACTTCATCCAAGAAGCTTTCTTTCATCACTCCAGGTATACATAAACCCTCCAAAGCACTTAATCTTATCTTCATTGTATTTGTTATTTTTCCTAATTTGACAAATATTTGAAAAACTTTTATGTGCCAGGCTCTTTAGGTTCATGTATTTATATACTTGTTTTATCTACCCATTATACTATTAACTTTCTGAACACAGGATTTTATATCTAATTCATATAACCAGCTCTAATGTCTTGCCCATAGTTGGCACTCAAACCTGGTTTAAAGGAAGAAAGGCACATTATTTTGAAAAGATGGCTGTATGTGGGCTGGAGAGAGCTGTAATAGTAGGTGTGAGTCACTACAGATGCTGTAGTGACCAGAGAAGCCTTCAGGAAAGAGATGGCATTTGGGAGGGGTCTTAAAATAAGTGTAGCAATTAGAAATTGAGACAGGAACAGAAATATTTCAGTTGACTGGAATACAGGGTTCAGAAGGAAAGCAGAAAAAAGAAAGGTTGAAAAAAACTTGAAATCAGACTGGGAAGGTCTTCAGTCCCAGGCAAAAGGATCTGGACTGTCCTTGTACCTAAAAAGGAGACTGAAAGTGCTAGACATCCCACTGATATATAAACGGGAGTAGGAAAGACCAGAATTACAGACAGATTGGACAGAATTAAAAATTAAAGAACTTAACCAGCCTCCAACTGGTTTCCAGCTTCCTTGCTCCCAATATTTTTTTTCAATTTTATGTTTTTCAAATTTTGAGTGGATGACCATGTTACCTGAACAATAACCAAACCTCAGCTTTAAATATACAGTTGCCCCTTGAACAACACAGGTTTGAAATGCACAAGTCCACTTATATGCAGATTTTTTTTGATAAATGCAGTAAAGTACACTTTTTCTCTTCCTATGATTTTCTTAGTAATGTTCTCTTTTCTCTAGCTTACTTTATTGTAAGAAATACTGTATACAGTACATATAACATACAATATGTTTAATCAAGTGTATATGTTATTGTTAAGGCTTGTGGTCAGTAGTACAGTATTGGTAGTTAAGTTTCTGGGGAGTCAAAAGTTATATGTGGATTTTTCAACTACATGGGGGTCAGCGCCCCTAATACCCCCACCCCAGCCCATTGTTCAAGGATCAACTGTATAGCAAAATCAATCTGTCATATTTCAGGATATTTATAAATTGTGATTATGCTATAAATTGTAAGGAGGAGGAAGCAGGAAACTTCTAGGATACTCCTTTCAAGGTGTCTACTATTCCACATCTCTGGCCAAAGTGTTTTAGAAGGTAAGAACCATAAACATCTCCTTCCACACCTTGCCTTGAAGGTTACTGTTTTTTGGCCCATTTCAGTTAGTCTATGGCAAGTTTCCTGCTCTATCAATTTGCTGCTGTGAACCTTCAGGTTCAGTCTTTCTATATGTTCAAAAAGTGGAGTCACTTTGACAAGAGAGACCACTGTCACAATGTCTGTCCACTTTACTGGAAGCCTGGACAAGAACACAGCTATCCTTTGGGATGCCTAGAACATCTGAGCAACGGAACTGCTCTTGCTGGAGGAGGAAAACAAAAATCACACATCTAGGAGCTTTATAATAACTCCTGCTCTTGCCAATCTGTTTACCCTTCTTTGGGACCAAGAAGTCAATTGAACAAGTTATAAATACAGTGTCTTCTGCTATCTTTCAGGATCAGACCTATACATAGGGTAGTCTGTGTGGTCATAAATGAAAGGTAATCACTGACTAAAAGTATCTCCCTAATACTATCTGAAATCCACTGATTAGGGATTTGTTTGAGTTAAAAAACAAACATGATCTTAGAAAGGGGAGAGGGGACCTTGCTATCAGGCTCTGTATTAGGAAAACAATCTGATTCACCTAATCCACACAAATGGAATGTGGGTTTGATTGGGGGGGAAGGGAGAAGGGAGAAGGTCAAAGGATAGAAAATCTGTGAGATCATTCTGGAACACTGTATATTTCCAAGGAGAAATCCAAGGAGCATCAGAAAGAACTAAACAGAATGAGAGCACTAGGATCCTGAAAGGTAGTCAAGCTAAGAAGTAGAAAAAGCAAAAAAGAGCCATAGCTCAGGAGGTTTGGTGAATGAGTTCCAAAGGTTGACTTTATCTTGAGTTATTGCCAAGGTCCTCACTTACTCCCAGTAGTTCAACTCAGCTCTCATTTTCTGTGGGAGCATCCAAAATGAGGTGGAATGTACCGAAACTTGGGTGGGGAAGTGTGGCCAAATGAGGTTGGGAGTGATAGATGTGGAGCTGAAGCCAAGAAAGAGAAGGTGTCAAAAATGGAGCCAAAAGAGCTGGAACCCAAAATGGGATCCAGTTCATCAGAATTACAGGTATTTGGGGACTTTTCTGTTTCCCATCCTAAGTTTTATTCAAATTGTTTATGCTGGAAATTCTGAGTATGCCTGGGTTAAAGAAATACGTGATCAGCAGCCACCATTCAGAATTCATCAAGCTCCAATAAAACCGCTTCACTTGAGTTCAGAAAATGAAAACTGCAATAAGGCAGAAATTCGTAGAAACACAAACAGTGGAAGTTAGTTTCCCCATAAACATTACCAAAACAGATAATTACACTAGTTAGTTTCAAAAGTCCTTCAAGCCCAAGGTAATACATGTATTTGGAGGGAAAATAATCAACATACCATGGCCATCTGCAACCACCACTGCTCATTCCCTTCTCAAGAGATGTCCAGTTCTGGTGAAGGCTTGCCCTGACAAGGCATAATATCCTCCTTCCACAGAGCCAGTGACGTGACTCTTCCAAGGTACACAAGCCCATCTGCTCATCTCCACTCTCCTCCCCTCAATTCAACTGCTTCTTAATCTACTTTGGGCATAACTATCTTAAGTGGACCTCTACCCCTCTGCCTTTTTTATGTATAAATATATTTCAAATCCTCTCCTACAGGGACAGAGGCTCTCTGGAGGCTGACCATTTACCTTTCAGACATCAGACCCTGCCGAACTGGGATCAGTCTTTCTAATCTCACACTATTCCAGAGAGATTTAGAGAAGTTACTTCAGCGTTCTCATTATTTATTCAGATGAAACACTGCATACTCCCATTCTTGTCACAAAGCACAGCCTCCCCACACTGTTTAAATTAAGATCAAAGTTAACAAAGGTTCCCTACCTTTTTCCCGACCTGTATAGCTACCTATCCAAGTCTGCTAACTGCTAAAAAAATTTGGTAATGGCCCCAGAATTTGAAAAATACAGTGGCACTGTCACACTTGCTAAAATCCTTGCTTCTTCTGCATCAGTTATTCTATGATTCAATATCCCCATTCTTTAGTAATTCCTTCTGCTTTCCGTCCTGCAGTCTTCCCCTTATAGGTGGACAAGTCCCGGCATCATTCTTTTGCAACCAACTGTAAACCCTGTTCTAGACGTCACCATTCTTTTCAGCAGACCTTACCGTGTAGATAAGCTCTAAACTTGCTCTCCTAACTATAGCACTATTGGGGACTAATAGCATCATCCAGTTATTCTTGTACAAGTCCCAAATGCTTTCACATTCATTTTCCTCTTACCTGAGCTGCTCAACATCCAGAGAGAAACCATATGCCTGTCATTTTATAGATAAGGAAACCAAAATTCTGCAAGTATTGGGTGACTCATTCTGAGCCAAGCAGATAATTTAAATGAGCTAGAGTCAAGACTTCTACTTCTGACCCCAACTCTTTCCCCATGCACATTTCTGAGAATAAACCTAATGTTTGGTGTAAGTCTGACAGGACATGCTGTAGGCCCCGTGAGAGATACCTGCGTTGGTCCCTTGGTCTGTATCACTGTTTTTACCCTATTTCCCACTCCTAGCACCAAGTCTTGATACACAAACTCACCCCCTCCTAATTTTCCTCCATCCTACTTCTACCATATTAACCAATTTCTTTTTTTATTGTTGTTCTGAATATAGTCTTGTCCCTTCTCCACTGATAACACCTCTGTCAGGAGAAAGGAAGCAGTCTTCTTCTCTTACCCAACAACTTACTCACACCCTTTGGCTCAGAAACCACAAACTCTTAACACAAACACTGTATAAGTGTACATTTATTTATGGTTTTGGGTCCATGTTCTCTGTCCTTGCCTTCTCCTGCCCTGTTCGAAGCTATCCATTTGAGAGTGTAAGCTCCTGGCCCAGAAGGCTCTAGTTAGTCCTTTGTGGGCACCACCCAGCACAATGCCTTGCATTCACAGGAGCATAAACATTGCCAATTACCATCTTTTTAAAAAAAATAATAAATTATTCCTGTCCTTGATCTGAAATAATGACAGAAATCAGTTGCCAAAACCACTAAGAGCATTGTTTACTTCAATTCAGAGTTACTGAATAGGAATTAGCTTAAAAGAGCTGTAAAGTGAAAGACAAGGACACATTTGTTTACACGCAGTCCCAAAGGTATAAAACGAAATACAGAGTAATTTGTTATTAGTTTCTCATCCACAACAGTCCAGCTTTACTGCATAGCAAGGTCACCCTGGGTAAGAGAATCCTAGTTACCAGCATTCCCATTACAGAAAGGAGGTGATCAGCTATTCCAAATGCATATGTGCTCTAGAAAAGTACCAGCTGACTGCATTTCACTTACCGGTTTATCCTTGATGGTGGGGCTTGACACGCACAGGTACAGCTTCCCGTCTTCTTCCAGGCAGGCATCTATCAATGCTTGCACTGAGCTCTCCTCCTGGAACAGCAGAAAGGCATAGCCTTGGGAGAACAAAAACAAAAGGAGGGAGAGAGAAATCAGTACATGAAACTCAAAGTACCAAATAAAAATTTACCTGTGGTTTCCCTTTGGCAAATTCTTACTAAAATCTAAGAGCTTGAAATGGGACACAGGGAAGTAATAGTCACTGAGACACTTCATATGCCACGCACTGGGTTAGGTACTCGTAGACATAATCTTGCTTAATTCTCATAATTACTCAGGGGAGCAAGTTCAGAACTTCTCTATGGAATTTCCGTGAAATACAAGCATACCTCATTTTATTGTCCTTCACTTTATTGTGCTTTGCAGATACCGCGTTTTTTACAAATTGAAAGCCTGTGGCAACACTACATCAAGTAAATCTATTGGAGCCATTTTTCCAATAGCATTTGCTTACTTTGTGTCACATTTTGGCAATTCTCACAATATTTTAAACTTTTTCATCATTATTATTATATTTGTCATGGTGATCTGTGATCAGGAATCTCTGAGATTACTATTGTGATTGTTCTGGGGAACCATGAACCGGACCCACATAAGCAAGTGAACTTCATAGATACTGTGTGTGTTGACTGCTCCACGGGCCAGCCATTCCACTGTCTCTCTCCCTCTCCGTGGGCCTCCCTATTTCCTGAGACACAACAATATTGAAAATAGGCCAATTAATAACCCTACAATGCCCTCTAAGTGTTCAAGTAAAAGGAGGAGTCGCACGTCTCTAAGTCAACAGCTAGAAATGATTAAGCATAGTGCAGAAGACATGTTGAAAGCTGAGAGAGGCTGAAGGCTGGGCCTCTTGAGCCAGTTAGTCAAGTTGCAAATGCAAAAGAAAAGTTCTTGAAGGAAATTAAAAGTGCTACTCCAGGGAACACATGAATGATAAGAAAGCAAAACAGCTTTATGGCTGGTAAGAAAAAAGTTCTAGTGGTCTAGATAGATCAAACCAGCCACAACATTCCCTTCAACCAAAGCCTTTTCCAGAGCAAGGCCCTAACTCTCTGCAATTCAATGAAGGCTGAGAGAGATGAGGAAGCTGAAGAAGAAAAGTTGTAAGCTAGCAGAGGTTGATTCATGATGTTTAAAGAAAGAAGCCATCTCCATGACATAAAAGTGCAAGGTAAAGCAGCAAGTGCTGATGTAGAAGCTGCAGCAGGTTATCAAGAAGATCTTGTTAAGGTAATTAATGAAGATGCCCCCAGTAAACAGCAGCTTTTTCAATGTAGATGAAACAGCCTTCTATTGGAAGAAGATGCCAGCTAGGACTTTTACAGCTAAAGAGGAGAGGTCAATGGCAACCTTCAAAGCTTCCAAGGACAATCTCACTCTCTTATTAGGCATTAATACAGCTGGTGACTTTATATTGAATCCAATGCTCATTGACCATTCTGAAAATCCTACAGCCCTTAAGAATTATGATAGATTTACTTTGCCTATGCTCTATAAATGGAACCATAAAGCCTGGATGAAAGCACATCTGTTTACAAGATAGTTTATGGGATATTTTAGGCCCACTGTTGACCCTGCTCAGAAAAATAGATTCCTTTCAAAATATTACTGCTCACTGACAATGTACTAGGTCACCCAAGAACACTGATGGAGATGTACAATGAAATGAATGTTGTTTTCATGCCTGCTAACACTATGTCCATTCTGCAGCCCATGGATTTCAAGTTTTATTATTATTTTTTTAAGTTTATTTACTTATTTTAGTAGAGATCTCACACCCCGAGATCAAGAGTCGCATGTGCCTCCAACTGAAACAGCCAGGCGCCCCCCAGTCTTATTATTTAAGAAATATATTGCATAAGACTACAGCTGCCAGAGAGTCCTCTGATGGATCTGGGCAAAGTAAACTGAAAACCTTTTGGAAAAGAGCTACCATTCTAGATGTCATTAAGAACAATCATGATCACGGGAAGGGGTCAAATTATCACCATGACAGGAGTTTGGAAGAAGCTGATTCTAACTTAAGGAGAACTTTGAGGGGTTCAAGACTTAAGTGGAGGAAGTAACTGCAGATATGGCAGAAATAGCAAGAGATCTAGAATAAGTATATGGAAGATGAAGATGTAACTGAATGGCTGTAATCTCAGCCAGTTTTAATGATAAAACTTTAACAGATGAGGAGTTGTTTCTCATGGATGAGCAAATAAAACGGTTTCTTGAGATGCAATCTATTCCCAGTGAAGATGCTATGAAGACTGTTGAAATGATAACAAAAGATTTAGAATATTATATAAACTTAGCTCATAAAGCAGAGGCAGAGTTTGAAAGGATTGACCCCAATTTTGAAAGAAGTTCTACTGTGGGTAAAATGCTATCAAACAGCATTGTATGCTCCAGAGAAATGATGTGGCAAAGTTAAATGCTGTCTTACTTTAAGAAATTACCACATCCATCCCAACCTTTAACAATCCCCACTGTGATGTGTCAGCAGCCATGAACACTGAGACAAGATTCTCCCCAACAAAAAGATTACAACTCATTGAAAGCTCAGGTAGTGGTTCCATATTTTTTTTTTTAAAGATTTTATTTATTTATTTGACAGAGAGATAGAGAGAGAGCACAAGTAGGCAGAGAGGCAGGCAGAGGGAGAGGGAGAAGCAGACTCTCCACTGAGCAGGGAGCCCGACGTGGGGCTCGATCCCAGGACCCTGGGATCAGGACCTGAGCTGAAAGCAGCCGCTTAACTGACTGAGCCACCCAGGTGCCCCAGTGGTTCCATATTTTAACAAAAAGGTAATTTTTAATTAAGGTATATACAGTTTTTTAGATATAATGCTATTGCACATTTAACAGACTACAGTATAGTGTAAACATAACTTTTATATGCACTGGGAAACTAAAAAATTTATTTGATTCACTTTATTGAAATATTTGCTTTATTGGGGTGGTCTACAACTGAACCCACAATATCTCCATGGTATGCCTGTAGATTTGGTCATCAAGAGAGCAGGCAGATTCATCACTGGCCTGAGCCACAACAACTAGCCAAAAAACAAGCATCATCTGCCCCCCAACTTCCATCAAGCTTTAGGCTTGACACATGCTACAACATGGATGCACCTTGAAAATATTATGCTAAGTGAAAGAAGCCAGGCACAAATATTGTATGATTTCATTTATGTAAAATGCCCAGAATAGGCAAGTCTTTAGAGACAAAAAATATATTAGTGGTTGCCCAGGGTTAAGGACTGGAGGGAATAGGTACAGGGTTTCTTTTGAGGATGATGAATATTTTCTAAGATTGACTGTGGTGATGACAGTGGCATAACTCCACGAACATACTGAAAACCACTGAATTTTATACTTCAAATGGGTAAACTGTATGGTATGTGAATTATATCCCAAGAAAAGTTGTCTAAAAAAAAAAAAAAAGCCCAATAATAGCCTAGCCTAATGTTACTTCTGATGATGATGTCTGCTTTCTCCAAGGATACTCTCCTCTCTCATGGAAGAGTACACAACTGATAAACATGGATACTAGCTGCAGAATTTCCATAGAGACAGCCAGCTTTGCTCACTTCGGTTCAGTAAGATTTACTGAGCAACTGTTATAAGTGGGACACAACCTGTGGATTATGAGAAAACTGAGATGGAGGAGAGTACGTTCCTATTGTCAAGAGACTTATGTGGTAGAAGAAACAGACATTTAGACAATTAACTATTTGTTACAAAACTGAAGGAGATACAAGGGGACAAAAAGTGTGTTGGTAGCCCAGAGGAGCAAGGGCTCTGACTTGAGAGAATCAGCAAAGACTTCAAACAGGTCAGCAGATGTTCAAGGGACCAATTCTGGCATCTGCTGCCATATCAGCATTCATGTATGGCAGCTGGGCAAAGGCCTATCATGAGGTAGTCTAAGTTTGACTAGTCAACTATTCAACCCTTCTGCAACCCCTTTAGCTTTGCTCAGCTTCTCAGCTGTCACCTCCACTCCCAGTCCTCAAAAAAACCCATCACCAATATGGTTCTATCCTGGTACACTGCATGCCAGAAAGGTGTAAATGGTGAAGAAGAATAAGAACCTCCATATTTCAGAAGATTCTCGCACATCAAACAAAGATGTTAATCAACTGGCCTAGAAGCAAAGCTCTTGGAGTCCTGGGTAGCACATAATGACAGTAGGAGTAGATAATGAATAATGGGTACTTTTTTAAAAAGATTTTATTTATTTATTTGACAGAGAGAGACACAGAGGGAGAGGGAACAGAAGCAGGGGGAGTGGGAGAGGGAGAAGCAGGGCTCCCTCAAAGCAGGGAGCCCAATGCAGGGCTCGATCCCAGGACCCTGGGATCATGACCTGAGCCGAAGGCAGACCCTTAACGACTGAGCCACCCAGGTGCCCCTGGGTACTTTTTTAAAAAATACTTTTTCTCAACTCTTTGTCTAGTATACACAGCATCCAAGCAAAACAGTAGAAGAAAGGTTAACCACTACCATCCAAACAAATACAGCAGGAAAAAGATCAACCATTACCTGACACAAGAGTGGCCAATTCAAGAGGCAGAAGTCAACGTACAGGGGATAGCACCAAGCCCAAAGGAGTGGGTATATAGATACAACAGGGAGGCTGCCTACATGGGAGGACCCAGAGCTGTTTTCTGGGCTCTCCTCCTAAGCTAGCTGGGTCAAAAGATTCAGCAGGTGGCTAGGCAAGAAAAATAAAACCTAACTGCAAAACTAGAAAAAATAACATTTCTTCATATCCTTTCTCTATTGGAAACAGTATTAAACAATCACCAAGCCCCAAGGAATCTATTAAAAATTCAGTGTTTTCATTAAACGTGAGAACATTAATTCCACTTGCCAAAGTGAATACTAGAGATGAGTGAGGTTAAAAAATGCAAATTACAAAGAGGAGGTTTCAGCATGTCCTCTCAAACCTCCTGCCTCACCACGTTAAACCCTGGTAGAGATGGCCCACAAAGGTCCTAAGGGACACACTGGATATCTTGTTCTTGGAGAGGACCCCATCTGTGTACATTATGCACAGGCC